CCACACACCACACACGCAACGCCCATCACTCACACAGCCCGTCCCTACACACTCCACACACATGCTACACGCATACCACTTACCCCCCAACACCCCATCTCCCCACACACACCACACACGCACCCATCACATCCCTACAGCCCGTCCCTACACACTCCACACACATGCTACACGCATACCACTTACCCCCCAACACCCCATCTCCCCACACACACACCACACACACACCCATCACATCCCTACAGCCCGTCCCTACACACTCCACACACATGCTACACGCATGCCACTTACCCCCCAACACCCCATCTCCCCACACACACCACACACACACCACACACGCACCCATCACATCCCTACAGCTGTCCCTACACACACCACACCCCCATCCCATCCCCATATGCATCCCATCCCCCCACACAAGCATCACACACACCCCACCCCACCCCCATACTTCCATGCCACACAGCCCCTGCACCCCACCCCCACATGCACCCCATCTGCTCCTACGCCACACACACACCACATACCCCCACCCCCCACCCCTTCCCATACCACATGCATCACACACATACCCCCACTCACAGCCACACCACACCAGCCTCCTATACTCCCCCGCCCCCAAACCCAACCCCTCCCAGTATGCTGTGCCGCAAGACATCCAGCTACCAAAGGAACACTAAAACCCTAAAATGGTTGCCTCTGAGGGACAGCAGTGGGCCATGAGGACGTGGGGCCAACAACTGAACAAAGACGTGGAAATGAAGAGGGGTCTTCGAGGGGAGGACTCTAGCCACGGCTGAGAGCCAAGGCCCAAGCAGCACCCACTGGTGACCACGCAGCACGCCCACCTTCGTGGCTCCCACGGACACCACCTGTCCCACTGCTGCCTCCCATTTCTGGCAACCTTCAGCCTGGTATGAACCCGGCTTGCAAGCCTAGAGAATTCTCACACCGTCTAGTGAACTCACACCATCTCAGCCTGACGCGGAATCCACGCCCTGCCAGGCTGAGCGCCACAGCACCAAGACAGACTGCGGAGGGCCCTGGGGCGCGTGGTCAATAGCGGCCTCTAAAGTCGACCAGCGTGCAGGGCTGGGCCCACGTCTGCTGCTCTACACGCGGCACCGAACGGTCAGCAGAGGGGGCCTGGGAGCTGCCTTCTCTCCGACGTGGGGCTGCCCGGCGCTCCCCAGCCGCTGTGGAAGTCTGGCTGAGGAGGCACGGGCGACTTCACCATGAAGGCTCATCCCCTTCGGGGCACAAACAGGCAGCCGTGCTGGCCTAGGTGCATGGCTGGGCCCCAGGGGGAAGCTGCAGAAGCCGAGGGTGCGTCCCTGGCCGGGTGCCTTTGCAGCTACAGCTGTGCCCACTCAGCGCCTGGGCTCTGGCAGCCTGCGTTCCCCACTGCCCACGCTGTCCTTGTCCTTTAAGCCTCGTCCTGCCGGCACGTCCCGTCTGCTCTCTGGTCCTCCAGCCGCCTGCTTGGGTCTCAGCTCCCCCACATCGGCTCCCCCTCGGGCCTCCCATGAGCTCCTGCCCTCCAGGAGCCTGCAGCCCTTCATTGGAGCCACTGCTGCGGCTTCTCGGCCTGAGCCTGTCCCGGGTGTCCCTGGTCTGCCTCTCCCTGAGCGCCTGGCTCTGAGCACACGGGGCAGGGAGCCTGCATGGAAAGCGCACACCAGGACGCACACGGCCTATCCGCCATGTGCTGCGGCCAAGGACAGCGATACAGCAGCTCCCTCCAGCGGCCGGGACCCTGTCTGCTGCTCCATGGGGGCGGCGGCCAGGCAAGCAGCAAGAACAAACCTGGCCCCACAAGCACAGGACGCGAATGCCTGTGTGGTGACAGCCCCACAAGGCTGCCTGGAGGGTGTCCCCCACGTGCTTCCTGGGGGTCAGCGATCTTGCAACAGCTGCAGGTCAGGTTCCCCCTGTGGCCAGCACCCCCAGTGGGCCCAGCTGAGGGACTCAGGCAGGTGAGATGCAGGCTGTGGGGCCAGACTGGGGGTGAGGGCTGCATGGTGTGGATAAGCAAGAGCCCAGAATTTAGGACACGCGCGGTCACCTGGCTGTGGCAGACAGGACGCAGCTCCCAGGCACACAGCTGCGGGCCAGCCTGGGGGACGTGGCCATCTCCTGGGCCACTCTGTGGGGTCAGCCTCTGGGATGCACCTGCTGCCCCTGCTCCGGACAGAACGATCCCAAGGTGATGCCCTGAGGCCCTGCACCCCACCCTGTGAGCCACCTGCCCTGGGTCTCTCTGGAACGGGGGGCATCTTGACTCTGTCCCCCACCTGTCCACCCTTCCTTTTGGGACCCTGCTGTGGGTCCCCGCACCCTGGCACCTCCTTGGTTCTGGCCTCCTGCTGTGTGGGTCCTGACAGGAGGGGGCACCTCCAATTTTTCTCTGCTTGCATCGGTCCTCCAGCCGTGCCATCTCTCAAGCCCATGCGTCTTCTCCCTGCAGCCGTCTCTCAGCCGGGTCCTCTCTGACTGTGTGGGACCTCTCCCTTCCCCTCACACCCGGCCGTGTTCTCTCAGGCCACGGCGGACAGCTTGGGTTTCTCTGCCCCGCGCCCATCTCTGCCTCCTAGGAAGCGCTGCGTCAGGACAGACGCCTCCTGCCATCTACTGCTCAGTCCCAACAGCCAGCTGGGGCGCTGGGTGCCGGGGCTGCATGTCCTGGAGAGCAGGGCCAGGGAGCTGGGAGCCCAGTGTGGGGAAGGCGCGAGCGAGGGGAGGCAGGCTTGGTGCTCATGCCCTGGTCTGGCCCAGAGGTCTCCAGCCCAGGGACCCCTGCCCTGCCCTTTATGGACAAGCAGCTGTCAAGACCATGGAGCTCAGGTGCTGTCATGGTGCCTAGAGTCTGTCGGTCAGCCCTAACTCTGCCCCCCAGCAGCCGAGAGCCCCTGGCACTGTGGGAACTGTGGGAGGTCGCCAAGGTGGCAACCGGCCTGGCACTGGCTCCAGGGCCCACTTTCCTCAACCTGTCACTGCCGATTTCTTCCCTGTTTTTCCTGAACTTGAGTGTTTTTGCCTTCAGAAAGCCTTGTGCCTGGGCTGGGGTTGTGACAGTGTGTAAGGTTGTTGCCTGAGACGCCGGTTTGAGTCTCGGCTGCTCCACTTCTGATCCAGCTGCCTGCTAGCGGCCTGGGAAAAGCAGCAGAGGAGGCCCAAGGACTTGGGTCCCTGCCACCGTGTGGGACACCCGGATGAGGCCCCTGGTTCTTGGCATCGGCCTGGCTCAGCACTGGCTGCTGCAGCCATCCTGGTGTGAACCTGTGGATGGAGGATCTCTCTCTGTCTCTCCCTTTCTCTCTCTAACTCTAACTTTCAAAATACAGACAAATCTTTAAAAATAAAAGCGGGCTCTGAATGAGGACAACCAGTGAACGCACGGATGGAGGAGCCTGTCAGGGCGGGTATGCGGGGTCCCAGGCCCCCGCACGGCTGTGCTCCCCTGGCCCTGGGACGACGTCCGTGGCGCCGGCAGCTCCTCTCGGGCCTCCTGCGGCTTGTGCAGGGAAGAGTGGCTGCTGGCTTCTCCCCGAGGGGACAAAGGGAGGGAACTCGGGGACAAAAACTGATGGGGGGCGGCTGACGGCCAGGGAGGGAAAAGCAGGGAGTCCTCACACCCATCTGCAGGCCCCAGGTCTGTGGTCTGCGCCCAGGGAGCGGGCGAGGCCCCCACCTCTGTGCAAGACCCCTGCGGCGAGGCAGGAGAGCCTCTGAGAACGTTGTATCCATGCTGGCTGGAGTGCTGGTTCAAGTCCTGGCTGCTCCTGGGAAGGCAGTGGAGACGGCTCAAGTGCTTGGGCCCTGCCGCCCATGTGGGAGACCCGGATGGAGTTCCTGGTTCCTGGCTGTGGCCTGGCCCAGCCCTGGCTAGTGCAGCCATCAGGGAAGCGAACCAGTGGATGGAAGATGGCTCACTCTCTGCCTGTGTCTCCCTCTCTGTTGTTCCGCCTTTCAAATAAATAAGTAAACAAATCTTATATAAAAAAAGTTATTTTCATGATGTCAACTCTCCCCAGCCTGCCAGAGGCTGGAAGCAGGCGGCCTTTGGCCCGGAAGCTGATGCTCACGGCGCCAGACCTGTGATGCTCCCTCTCCGGGCCTCCTCTTGGTCATCCCCGTGAGCCGCTCTGGGCACAGCCTCCATAGTCTACACTCCGCCATCCAAGATTCTGGTAAACCAGTGGCTCTCAGTCCATTTCCTCCCCACGCACGCCTGCGGCAAGACACCGTCACTGGACACAGCAGCTCCCGTGCGGTGAGGCTGAGCATTTCTCTCCCAGACCCCGAGCCTTGGGACCCCCGTGGGTGGCCCTGCAGCCCCCCAAGCCCCGAGGGAGAGGCCTGGAGCAGCCTGGGGATGCCACAACCCTGTCGGGGAGGGAAGGGCGCAGAGCAAATACCTAGAAGTTTCTTACTGTCCAGTTTCTGCCTGTTGAGGGGGTTTGTGCCGTAGAGGAGTGTGTGGCTCTCCGAGTGCACCGTCTGCAGCTCCTCCAGTGTGGCCTTCCGTCCGCGGATGCACTGCGGGGACACAGGGCGAGAGGGCGCTCACAGCTCCGGCGGCCGTGCCCTGCTCAGCACTGGAGCAGACGAGGACCCGCCGAGCCCCCCGCCGCCGTGGGACTGGCTTCAGCACACCGACAAGCAAAGCCACTGGGTCATTGCAAGACGAAAGCAGATACGACTCAACACGGTGTCTCAGAAACGTCAGAGGGCTTGGCCTTCCGAGCAGCCGGAAAAGCCCCGGCGAGGGCGCTCCAGCCTCCAGGCACAGTGCCCTCACCGACACCCGAGCGGTGCGCGGCTGGCCACGAGCGCTCACTCTGCTCTCCCCGCCCCGGCCGGGTCTGGTCTCAACACGGTGGTGAGCAGCTCCCCGAGCTCGCGCTCCGGGGACCCTCAGCGCCCACCACCCCACCTCGCCTGCTTCCGGCTCCCCAGCGTTTGCCGGTGGTCGGGAAATCCCTCTAGCCGAGGCTACTGGCAGACCTCCCCAGAAACTTAGGGGCAAGTGACTGACCTCTGGCTGAGCTACAGGCTCCGCCTCCACAACACAGCGGGCCGGGACACTGGACAGGGCAGGTGCTTTACGGGGACTCGGCTCCGGGGGGGGGGGGGGTGAGGCCAGGCGGGAAGAGCCCTCCCACAGACTCCTGCAGGCCTCAGAGTCCCCGCCCTGCAGGAGATTCGGGGCCAGCCATGCTGGAGCTGGAGCCCAGGCCACCTGCTCCCAGGTCTCCTCCAGGCCCTCCTGAGCTCTGGGCTCTTGTCCACACAGGTGTGGGGGAAGGGGTGACCGGCACGGGCAGCTTCCTGAGCAGGGCGCCCTTTTCTTCGTGAATGTCACTGCCATCAGGTCAGCCCCTCGTTCAGGCGAGGCTCAGCCTGGACTCCGCCTCCGGCCTCCTCCAGCTCTGCGCTCGGGGGTGGGGGGCACGCAGGCGGGGCGCCGGGCAGCTGCAGGGACAGTGCTGCTCAATGACCCACGGCGCTGGTGCCCGGTTCTGTCTCCACCCAGGCTCTCTGGGCAGTGCCACTGCCCGAGGCCTCCTGGGAGTGAGGCCACATGGTGCTGGGAAGCCAGGTCACGCTGTGTGGACCACAGAGAAAGCACAGCAGCTGGGCAGCCAGCACACGGGCCCCTCCACTTGCAGGCCAGCCCCTGGGGAAGTCTGCACTGCAGCAAGAGGTTCTGGGTTAGACCAAGGAAGAATCTGCACACTACAGCAGAAGTTGGAGCAGATGAGCTAGGAAGAGCCCAAACCTTACAGAGACGTAAGAGACAGACAAGGCAGCGGACGGGGGACCAAGGCTATGCACCTGCAGGAGCTCCCACGGCCTTGCTCCCTCCCTCTCAGTGCAGGCAGCTCCTCCCGGCCTCGGCCCAGGGCTGGAGGCAGGAGGAAGCCCCGAGCTGGCCTCTCCCACGCCCCTGACCCGCCTGCCAGTCCCAGCCCTCCCGGCCTCCTGGCAGCCATGCTCCACTCTGCGGAGCACCGGGTGGCGAGGGGCCCGCCCCCCAGGCGTCCACTCTGAAGGCATGTGCTGACCTGCAGCCCCAGCCCCAGGGCCTGGGCTCAGGTCTCACTGGCGCCCCCAAGTGATCAAGAATGTGGCAAACGTGTGGCATGGTCCAGCTGGCTTCTCTCCTAGGCACCAGCTCCAGCCACCCCTGTCCAGGCCCTGTGGCCCCTCGGCCGTCTCAGGAGGCAAAAGGGCTCCAGGCCCTGGCCAGCCTGTGAGGCCAGCCTTTCAGGTGCTGCTGTGCCCACCTGGGCTGAGCTCATGGCAGCCCCTCCCTCACAAGAAGGCGGTGCCTGGCTGTGCACTGCACGTGGGCAGAGACGCACGCGGAGGGGCCTGGTCTCAGCTTTCCCGCCACTCCCCTGCCCCAGCCCCCTTCCCTCAGATCTGACCTCGCGACCCTCACCCCCCTCCTGCCTGGCCTGTGTGGCCAGCGCCTCTGCCCACAGGGAGGGTCACTCTGGGCTCTGCCAATGTCCTGGCTTTCTCACACCCCCCCCCACCCGGGTTTGCTTTTCTGGCTGAGAAAGCTTCTCCACACCTCCGGCTGCAGACAATGGACACGCTGAGGCGGAAAGTGGGGAACGCCAGGACGCCGGGGCAGCCGGGGGAAGGCGCGCCGTGGCCTCGCAGCCGCGCAGCCGGCGTCTGCTGGGCAATGCTGCCCCCCAGTGGCGCGGCCATCATGGCCGACCCCAGGAAGCAGGCACCGCGCTCCCTGGAGGGCCCTTCAGGACAGTACCCTGGGCCTGACGCCTGAACCCCGCTCTTCCTGAAAACTTATGTCACTAAGAGCCGGTAAAGGGGACCGGAGTCAAGGGACCCACAGAGCAGGGAAGCCGTGGCCGTCCTCACTCCTCAAGGAGAAGCCGGGGTCTCGCAGGGCAAAGTCGCCAGGCGGCCGAGGTGCCTGGCGCTCAGCACAGCCGCTCGGGCCCTGGCCCCGGTGGGCGCGCGGGGCTGTCAGAGGCGTGGATCTGGATGGCGCCCACCTCCACTCGGGACCTGGGCGGCCACGCAGGGAATCCCTGCAGATGGTGCCGTGAGGTCGCCCGAGGCCACCAGCTCCCGGCTCCGAGCCTCTCCTCTGGTGCCTGCATTATCAGCAGGACCGTGAGGCCGGACACCCTCGGTGACGGCAGCTCCAGGCCGGAGAGATCTGGCCGACCTCTGGCAGTGCTGCTCAAAATCCCACGCGGCTGAGCCTTGCTGTCCTGCCGGCCCCAGGGCCACTCAGCCGGGATTGGAGGGGAGTGAGTCCTGGTGACCGCACACACGTGGCCCCTGGCAGCCGGACTCACACCAGACTGGCCCCCGCCACGCGACTGCACTGCCCCCCACCGAACGCCTCGCAGGGAGTGACCCCCGGGGACAACTAAAGGCCCGAGGCTCGCGCCACGTTCTCAGGGAAGCTTCAGGAAACAGCAGAGCAGGGAGACGATATTTTAATGAACAGCCCGGAGGCCTGCTCTGAGACCTGCAGAGCTCCGCCCCCTCGAGGTGGACGCACGTCCCCGGCAGCTGGGGAGCTCGGCCAGAAGCCACGTGTGCAGGGCAGCGACCACAGGAAGGAAGAGGGGCAGTGCTGAGCGGAGAGGGCCCACGGCCACGGGGCGGCGCTCACCTCGCACTGGCTGCGCAGCCCGGTCTCCTGCAGGCGGGACCAGATGCTCTGGATGCGCCCGGCGTGCTCGGGGTGGCTGTTGGTGTTGCCGCAGGCGCACTGGTGCTTCAGCATCAGCGTGTCGTACACGAGGCCTGCAGCGCACAGAGAGGACCGTCAGGAGCCGCCCAGGACGCCCGCCAGCCCCAGCGCTGCCCCAGGCCGGCTGTGGGGCCACCGCTTCCCCGCAAGGGGGCAGGGCTAGGACGATCCACTCAGACCCCTCTCCCGCCAGGCCAGGAGCCACAGCCAGAAGCAGAGATGAGGCGATAGGGGGCCTGTGGCCTCACTCCCAGCGCTGCCCGTTGGCCCCAGCACTGGAGGCGCACGACACATCATGGGTGTGAGTGAGGAGGTGAGACGAGGGGCTGGGGCGCCCGGCCTGCAGGGTGAGCAAGTGTGGCCTCTAGGGGTGAGCAGTGTATGGCCCCTGCACCACAGGGGCCTGGGCTGGCCTGCAGGGGTGAGCAGTGTGTGGTCCCTGCACCACAGGGGCCTGGGCTGGCCTGCAGGGGTGAGCTGTGTGTGGTCCTTGCACCACAGGGGCCTGGGCTGGCCTGCAGGGGTGAGCAGTGTGTGGCCCCCACACCACAGGGGCCTGGGCTGGCCTGCAGGGGTAAGCTGTGTGTGGTCCCTGCACCACAGGGGCCTGGGCTGGCCTGCAGGGGTGGGCTGTGTGTGGCCCCCATGCTGTAGGGGCCTGGGCTGACCTCCAGGGGCGACAGCGTGGGGTTCTTTAAGATCCCAGTCTGCCCAGGGAGCAACCTCTGCCCTAAGCTCAGAGACCTGGGCCAGAGAGGCTCCAAGGAACCCAGCACTGGGGCTCTGCCCTCAGAGTGTGCACACAGTCACATCACACCTAACACCACACACAGCACAGGGCCCAGCACTGCGGCTCCACCCTCAGAGTGTGCACACGGTCACATCACACCTAGGACTACACACACAGCACAGGGCCCAGCACTGGGGCTCTGCCCTCAGAGTGTGCACACGGTCACATCACACCTAGGACTACACACACACAGCACAGGGCCCAGCACTGCGGCTCCGCCCTCAGAGTGTGCACACGGTCACATCACACCTAAGACCACACACACAGCACAGGGCCCAGCACTGGGGCTCTACCCTCAGAGTGTGCACACGGTCACATCACACCTAAGACCACACACACAGCACAGGGCCCAGCACTGCGGCTCTACCCTCAGAGTGTGCACACGGTCACATCACACCTAAGACCACACACACAGCACAGGGCCCAGCACTGCGGCTCCACCCTCAGAGTGTGCACACACGGTCACATCACACCTAACACCACACACACACAGCACAGGGCCCAGCACTGCGGCTCTGCCCTCAGTGAGTGCGCACACACGGTCACATCACACCTAAGACCACACACACAGCACAGGGCCCAGCACTGCGGCTCTGCCCTCAGTGAGTGCACACACACGGTCACATCACACCTAAGACCACACACACAGCACAGGGCCCAGCACTGCGGCTTTGCCCTCAGTGAGTGCGCACACACGGTCACATCACACCTAACACCACACACAGCACAGGGCCCAGCACTGTGGGTCTGCCCTCAGAGTGTGCACACGGTCACATCACACCTAAGACCACACACACAGCACAGGGCCCAGCACTGGGGCTCTACCCTCAGAGTGTGCACACGGTCACATCACACCTAAGACCACACACACAGCACAGGGCCCAGCACTGCGGCTCCACCCTCAGAGTGTGCACACGGTCACATCACACCTAACACCACACACACAGCACAGGGCCCAGCACTGGGGCTCTGCCCTCAGAGTGTGCACACACAGTCACATCACACCTAACACCACACACAGCACAGGGCCCAGCACTGCGGCTCCACCCTCAGAGTGTGCACACGGTCACATCACACCTAACACCACACACAGCACAGGGCCCAGCACTGCGGCTCCACCCTCAGAGTGTGCACACGGTCACATCACACCTAAGACCACACACACAGCACAGGGCCCAGCACTGCGGCTCCACCCTCAGAGTGTGCACACGGTCACATCACACCTAAGACCACACACACAGCACAGGGCCCAGCACTGGGGCTCTGCCCTCAGAGTGTGCACACAGTCACATCACACCTAACACCACACACAGCACAGGGCCCAGCACTGCGGCTCCACCCTCAGAGTGTGCACACGGTCACATCACACCTAAGACCACACACACAGCACAGGGCCCAGCACTGCGGCTCCACCCTCAGAGTGTGCACACGGTCACATCACACCTAAGACCACACACACACAGCACAGGGCCCAGCGCTGAGCAGCCTGCAGGGAGCCGTGTGGTGGGCGCCACCCCCGCCGGCCTCAACCAAGCAGGCTGGCAGCCTGGAGCTCTGCTGAGCACCCAGACCGCTCGGAGTGACCCCGCCACCTGTCACGGTCAGGTCACTGGTGGGGAGAGCAGGGCAAAGCACGGGCTCCCGCTTGTGCCAACAGTGGACAGTGGCTCCTCCCGCCCGTACTCCTGTGCTGGGAACCGAGGCCAGCTGAGCCCGTATTCAAGGTGACCCCAGGGCACATCAGTGCACCTGCTGCTGTGTGTGCACGTGGGGGGCGTGTGGGCATGACAGAGAGCACACAGACACCAGGAAGTGCACGAGGCCCATGTCTGTCTGACCACCTGGCCGCACTGGCACAGGTGGGCCCGCCCTTTGCCGACACTACGATTCTTCCGGGAAGAGAACAAGGGCCTCCAAGCCCGTGACCAGGGAGGGCGGGAAGGGAACCCAGGGCTGACCCGCCCACTCCCTGCTGCCCAGCGTGGCCTTGCCGACCCCCAGCCCCGGGCAGTGCCAGTCAGGGTCGCTCTGCAGGCTGCCGGGCGGCAAGTGTCGGAGCCCGTGGGTGCACACCGGACAGGCGCGTGGCCCTGGGGCGGGCAGAGCCGTTACCTGTGGTGAAGCGCGGCTTGGCAGGGGGCTCCTGCACAGACACGGGGAAGGTGGCAGACGCGGGGGAGGACTGCGCCCGCGACAGCGGCCGGTGGCCCCCGAAGGTCACTGGGATGCCTGCGGCCTCCATGGACGCCTGGTAGTTCCTCAGCTGGTGCATGCGCTGCTGCTCCAGGAGGAGGGCTTGCTGTGGGGACAACGGGGACAGTGGGGACAACGGGGGCAGTGGGGACAACAGGGACAGTGGGGACAACAGGGACAACGGGGACAGTGGGGACAACAGGGACAGTGGGGACAGTGGGGACAACGGGGGCAGTGGGGACAACGGGGGCAGTGGGGACAACAGGGACAACGGGGACAGTGGGGACAGTGGGGACAACAGGGACAGTGGGGACAGTGGGGACAGTGGGGACAACGGGGACAGTGGGGACAACAGGGACAGTGGGGGCAGTGGGGACAACGGGGGCAGTGGGGACAACAGGGACAGTGGAGACAACGGGGGCAGTGGGGACAGTGGGGACAACGGGGACAGTGGGGACAGTGGGGACAACGGGGGCAGTGGGGACAACAGGGACAGTGGAGACAACGGGGGCAGTGGGGACAGTGGGGACAACGGGGACAGTGGGGACAGTGGGGACAGTGGGGACAACAGGGACAGTGGGGACAACAGGGACAGTGGAGACAACGGGGGCAGTGGGGACAACAGGGACAGTGGGGACAGTGGGGGCAGTGGGGACAACAGGGACAGTGGGGACAACAGGGACAACGGGGGCAGTGGGGACAACAGGGACAGTGGGGACAACAGGGACAGTGGGGACAACGGGGACAGTGGGGACAACGGGGACAGTGGGGACAACAGGGACAGTGGGGACAGTGGGGGCAGTGGGGACAACAGGGACAGTGGGGACAACGGGGGCAGTGGGGACAACAGGGACAGTGGGGACAGTGGGGGCAGTGGGGACAACAGGGACAGTGGGGACAACGGGGGCAGTGGGGACAACAGGGACAGTGGGGACAGTGGGGGCAGTGGGGACAGTGGGGACAGTGGGGACAACAGGGACAGTGGGGACAACGGGGACAGTGGGGACAACGGGGACAACGGGGGCAGTGGGGACAACAGGGACAACGGGGACAGTGGGGACAGTGGGGACAATGGGGACAACGGGGACAGTGGGGACAGTGGGGACAATGGGGACAGTGGGGACAACGGGGACAACGGGGACAGTGGGGACAGTGGGGACAACGGGGACAGTGGGGACAACAGGGACAGTGGGGGCAGTGGGGACAGTGGGGACAGTGGGGACAACAGGGACAGTGGGGGCAGTGGGGACAGTGGGGACAGTGGGGACAGTGGGGACAACGGGGACAACGGGGACAGTGGGGACAGTGGGGACAACGGGGACAGTGGGGACAACAGGGACAGTGGGGGCAGTGGGGACAGTGGGGACAGTGGGGACAGTGGGGGCAGTGGGGACAACGGGGACAATGGGGACAGTGGGGACAGTGGGGGCAGTGGGGACAGTGGGGACAGTGGGGACAACAGGGACAGTGGGGGCAGTGGGGACAGTGGGGACAACGGGGACAGTGGGGACAAGCACGCCTGGTCCAGGGGTTGCATCCTCCCTCACACAGCCCCCGCCGAGGCTGCCCACAAGCCCCCAGTGCCTGGGGTGGCCGGCGAGGACGGGCCCCCGGGCAGGGTGAGTGTGGAGAACATGGCACCACACCCCACCTTGCAGGCCCCGCCTTCTGGCAGAAGCCGGAGCGGACGGGGCCAGGGAATGCCACCTGAAGGCTCTCCCTCACTGCCCCCGTGAGTCCTGGTCCACGGGCCGGCGAGGCTGGTGTAGTTTGGGGGATCAAGCGGGTCTCTAGGGGGTGCTGAGCTATGGAGGGACAGCCTGGAGGAGGCGAGGGGAGCAGGGGCCACACTGCAAGGGGTCGGCAGGGGCAGAGGCAGGCGCTGACCGGCAGGTGGGCTGGGACCTGTGGAACACTGGGGGCCCTGCAGCTGCACTGCACTAAACAGGTGGCGAGCAGAGCCTCGGCCGCTCGCTGGGCTCTGAGGGCTTCACCTGTGTGCCGAGCTTGGGCGAGAGGGTGCCCGGCCCCCTTGTGGCTGCCCCCACTCCTGCTCTCTGACCGAGACAGCCTCAGTGCCAGGGACGGGGGCCTGTGGAGGAGAAGCAGGCGCAAGGTGCCTCCGGGAACAGGGATGACCGAGGTGCATGCCCCGCCCCCTTGGGAGGGCGAGTGCGGCGGGAGGGAGCGAGGTGGAGACGCGCCTGCCGCGGGGCCTGCCTGCCTAGCCGCCGGGATGCAGGTGTGCAGCGAGCGGGGCAGCCTCCTCCCAGGACCCCCGAGGCGGAGTGGAAGCAAAGCCCCACCCGTGTCATAAACCCGGTCAAGAGAGCAGGCAGCGCTGCCTCGCCCACAACCCCACCCCGTGTCCTGTCTTCTGATGAACAGATCCTGCGATTCTGCAAGATCAGGTCGGCCCCAGGCTTGGATGGGAAGTGGGCGCCGTCCCAGGGCCTCTGGCCAGAGGAGAGAACATCGCCGCGCAGGCTCTGATTCTGCCGTCTTCAGGAAGAGCCCGAGGAGAGCAGTGGAAGAGAGAGCCGGGATGGGTGTGGGGCCGGAGGAGCCGGGAGAAGCCACCCGTGGGTCCCCCAGGCCCACTGCTTGGAGCAGACCAGGCTCCTTCCCCTAAGTGAGCTGGTTACTTTATCACCTCCAAGACAGTGCCCCTACAGCTCCCTGGGGGCACCGTGCTGGGACACTGCACTCAGGTTTCGGAAGAGCCGCTTCCTGCATGAATGTCACAGCCTTCCCGGTGCATGGGGAGGGCGCCTTGCGGCACCTGTGTGCCCACATGAGAGGACGAGGAGGACAAGGGCTCCCTCTGTCACCTGCACTCTGTCTGCAGTGCCTGAAACCAGAGACGGGGCCCCTCTCACGAGCGGCGGGAACAGACCTTGCGGTCAGCTCCGGGACTAAGGGCAGCGCGGCCTGCCCCCAGTGGAGAAGCTCTGGCGATCCACGCTGCCGACGCAGGCGCAGGTGCCCCCAGGGTGCGAGGCCTGCATTCGCAGGCTTGGTGGCAAACAGTGCCAACTTGAGGTAAGAGCCACGCTGTCCCGCCTGCACAGACGCCGCACACCTGGGCAGTGGCATGGAGTCCGGCAAGGTGCGGACGAGGCAGCACCCTGCATGCAGGCCCTGGGGCCACCCTCTGGGGAGCCGATCAGTTTCCAGGAACCAGCGGTGCCCGGCACGGGGGCTCCTGCGAGCGCCGAGCTGGCCACGGTTCCTGCTGACCCAGCATCTTGCTGCTGGATTTGCTCACCAGTTTCCTGTGAGCTTGGCTAGTGACGTCAGTGCCCACGCGGTACACTCGCTCGCACTCTGCTCCAGAGGTCCTGGCCAGGCCCTGCCGCCTTTCTGATCAGTTAACAACCCAGGCCCATCTTCCCCTCCGGCAGCCGGGCAGAGTTCCGGCTGGGAGTGCCTGGATGTGTGGGAAGCGGGAGACACACACGCACAGCAGGCAAATGCCCAGTGCCTGGGCCCGGCCGACGCGGAACAGAACCACAGGGAAACACAGGGGGCCCTTCCCTGATGACCACGTGGGGGCTGCCGGCGGCCGCCCAGTGCCCACACTCACCTGTCTGAAGAGCAGCTCCTGCTCTGTGGGCGGGCGCTGGCCGGGCTCCGCCTCTCGGGGCTCCGCCTCCTCCTCATCACTCTCGATGGGCTCCTGCTTCACCTGCACCCCCGCCACCTGCGCCTCCTTCTGCCCAGAGAGCCGCTCCAGGTACGGCTGGTCCAGCAGGGCCTGGTGCTCGCGGAGCTCCTCCTCCGTCTCCTCGGGGTGGCTCTCAGGCTGCCGGGGCGGCTCGCTGGGTTTGGAGATGATCTGCCGGGCAACGAGCGGAGCTGAGTGACAGGGTCCCCACACCTGCACCCCTTGGGAGCACGGGGCGGAGAACCCGGCAGGTGCATGAGCAGCCTACACCCAGGCCAGCAGGTGCCACTCCCTCACCCACAGCGGCACGGGGTGCTGTCCATGGTGCTGAGAAACCAATGTCCGGCAGGCTCCCAGCCAAGGGAGAAGATAGGCCAGCACCTGACGTTTATTAAGCACCTCCTGCATACCAGGCACAGAGAAGCCTGAAGCATGTTGCAGGTGTCACCCGGGTCTGCAGAGGGAGCAACACTCGCCTCACAACTGATGAGTCACCACCCTCTCGACCCCCACCAGCAGAAGAGACCTCCCTCGGTGCCCGATGACGCCTAGCGAGTCCCAGGGACGTGCTGTGCCCCTGGCCCGTCAGCACAGAGGGCGGCAGGCACTTCCTCTCCTGCTCACTCTCGTCTCCCTCTGTCCTGGGCCTGCTCGGGGCTCACCTTCCTCTCAGGAAACCTTTTCCCTGCTGTGGACACAAGTACTGATGACCGCCCATGAGGTGCCCAGTGCCATGACGTGGGACCAGGCGGTCTCCGCCAGCCCCCTCCCTCTCACCGAACCCCAGCAGCACACCAAGCCCCCAGCCCCATCCAGCTAAGCTCTGCCCAAGCCCCACCATCTGAGGCCTGTGGCAGGTGCTCTTCTCTGTAGCTCCTTTTCCCACCCCTCCTCCTCCAGGCACTGGCTTCTCAGCGTGGACTGCGCCCCGGCCCCTGGCGCTGCCTTCCCCCGTATCCTCACCCGGCTACTCCCCTACACAGATGCCCGACTCCCTCCTTGGCTCACTCACCCCTGCTCCCCGGCCACGCCAACTGCTCTGCTTACCCCTGCACCTGCCCTCCCTGCCCCAGCCACTGACGCAGCTGCTAGAGGCGCTGCAGCCCCAGGGCGTGCTGTGCTAACCTCGTCTCAGAGCCGCGGGGGAAGGCACACACTCCCTCCACTCCTCACACCCCTCGTGTTTCCCCGCCGGAGCGCCCACTGGCTTCATGGTCGCCCATTGCTCTACCCATCTTGCCTGCAGTCGGCAATTCACGTGAGGGTGGGGCCGTTTCTGTCTCATCCACGCGGCGTGTGGTTGTCACCCATGCTTGCCACAGGACAGGGAGTGCGTCAGACTCCCAGGCAGAGGTGCGAGGTGGAAGGAGGTGAGGGGGGCAGACTACAGAGCTCGTTGGGGCCTGCAGGATGCCAGCAGGCCTGGAGCATTGAAGGCCGGAGAAAGAGCTTGTGAGACGCTGGGGGGGGGGGTAGTGGGGGCAGGGAAGGAGGAAGCGCTGACGGCCAGGGACAGACCACATACAGGGGAAGGGGGCACCGGGATGCGGCCTCCGTGTCGTGCTGGCCCCTCGCACCTGGGGACCAGAGAGGACGATGTGGGCTGAGGGGGAGCGAGCCGGTGCAGTGGGCGAGCAGACAGCTCAAAGGGAAGAGGGGCAGGCGCCCCCCGGGCAGGCTGCGGAGGACGGTCTCCGCGTCGGCCGCTCACTGCCCCCGTCCTGTTCACCCACTGGGGAAGAGACGTGCTGAGCCCCGGATGTGGGGAACGCCTCTTCCCGCCAGCGCTGGCCCCGTCTGGAGGAGTCTCAGGTTTCCAGACACAGCCAGTGCTGCCATCAGAGCCCTGTGGTCCCATGGAATCCTAGCGAACTTGCCCTGTGGTCCACACCCTGCATGGCCCTTCTGCAGTCTAAGCCGTCAGGCCGGGCAGGTCCCAGGGCCTCCCACAGAAGGCCACGTGCAGCCCGCACAGAAAAGCGGCACGTGGTCATGCCCAGAGCCCCGCCCGGCCTCGCGCTAAGACAGCAGAGGCAGCAGGTTAGGTCTGTGACCCCCTGCCCTGACGTCATCCAGGAGCCACTTTACAGAGAAGCTTGACTGGAAAGGCCCGGACTGGAGAACTCGGCCCATCCTTCACCTGCAACCCCCGGCCAAGTCCCGCGCCCAGGGAGCCGAGAGCAGGACGGGGCTGCCAGGGCGGGGGCAGAGCACGTGGGGAGACGCTGGCCAAAAGGTGGCCATGCAGGACGAGGTGTGTGGGCTGGGGGGCTAAGGGCTCCCCGACAGCTGCTGAGGGCAGGCTCCCTGCGACACCCACACCGGCACCCACGTGGCCACTGTGGTGATCAGACACGAGGTACAGACGGCCCCCAGCTCACGATGGCTCAGTGCTCGACCCTGGTGCTCAGCAGGGACAACGCGGTGTCTGCATCTTTTCCCAGACTGGCCTTGTGCGGTGCGACCCTGCGCCCACGCCGGGCGGCTCCCCGTCGGCCCCAGGCACCTGCGGTGTTCTCGAGCGCTCCGTGCCACTGGGCAGTGACACCTGGGAGGACAGAGGACGTGCAACACTGTTCCCTGGACGGGCTTCTCAGGACAGGAGCCTGCAGCAGGCCAGGGGCCACGCGTGTGTGATGTGACATCACACTGCCCTGTGCACAAATACAAGCTTCCTGTCTGCCCGGTGAGACCTCAACAGGGCTGGGAGACGCTCGGTTGCTTTTACAGATTTCCCAGGTGTTTTGTTTAAAGTACGGTTTTGTGCACTTGTTCCACTTCGTCTTTGAGACCTGAGACCACCTCTAACTTGTCAATTTCATCTTCCCAAGCCCTGACTCCAGCCTGGGACAGGACCCTGGCTGGGTCTGCGCGCGCCTAGTCCCTGCCAGCAGAGGGCGCTGGCAAGCCCGGCAGCGGAGCAGCCTCCAGCAGCCTCGGCAGCAGGCACCCCAGGCCCCGGCTGTCAGGACCGCCTGGCCGGAGCTCGGCCGCCCTCACTGTCCCCGGGCCCGGCACCGTCTGCCAGGAAACAAGACGTGGCTCCTGAGTGGCTGAGGGAGGTCAGCTGAGAGCTGTGGCTGGGAGAGCAAAGGACAAAGCCTGGAAGGGCCTGAGAGTCCCAGCAAAGGCTCAGAAAGGCGGAGGTGGCTGCCCTGGCAGACTGGGCGCATTGGCCATGGCCTTGGGAACAGACGGTGAGGGGCTGTGTCAGGGCCAAGGACGCAGGGAGCGGCTCGAGGGCCCGCCCCAGTGGGCCCTGTCCTCCAGGGCCTGGTACAGAAGTCGGCTTCTTCGTGGGTGGGGGAGGAAGGGGGAGGGAGAGCCTCCTGCCTGTGCATGGCGGATCCTATGGGTGGGGCTGTGAGGCTTCCAGGCCAGCAGGTGCTGGGTCCAGAGGCGGCGGGAGAGGCCCTGCAGCCCTGCCCCAGTGGGTGTGAGACGTGCAGGAGGCACAGGACTCCCTGGACAGAGGCAGGGTCCGCCCAGCTCAGACAGGCTGAGCTCCAAGTGCTGGGGGGACCAGGGAATGTTCCGCAAAAAGGCGGGAATTGAGTGTGGGAACTGGGAGATGGCCGAATGGAGGTGGGCACTGGGGAGTAACCAGAGATGGCCGTGAGGACAGAGGCTCCGCGCACAGCTCCAGGGGCACACAGACCTGCACAGACGCGTGGACACACCTGCACAGACAGGGATGCATACAAATACAGATCCACCTGCAACACATCTGCAACACAGAAACACACCGTCACATACACAGACAAGCACAGGATACACAGATACACCCGGCACACACATGCATGGACAGAGAGACACAGACACACCTTCATATACAGACAAGCAGACACACGATACACACACAGATCCACCTGCACAACACATCTACATACACATAGACACAGACACACCGTCATACACACAGACAAGCACAGGCACACAGATGTACCTGGCACACACACGCCTAGACACACAGACACAGACATGCCGTCACAGACACAGACAAGCACAGGATACACACACAGATCCACCTGCACAACACATCCACATACACATAGACACAGACACACCGTCATACACATACACAGACAAGCACAGGCACACACAGACAAGCACAGGCACAGATACACCCGGCACACACATGCCTAGACACACAGACACAGACACGCCGTCACATTCACAGACAAGCACAGGCACACGCACACACACACAGATCCACCTGCACACACACATGCCTAGACACACAGACACAGACACGCCATCACATACACAGACAAGCACAGGATACACACACAGATCCGCCTGCACACACAGAGATGTCTATACAGACACTCAGAGACACAGGTATCCCAGACACGCGCACGCAGATCAACATGCAGGCATGTACGGACGATGCACACACAGACACCTGCACAGGCGGAGCCGAGGCCCAAGGACCAGCAGGCAGCGGGCCTCGCACCAGGAAGGAGGAGGAAGGAGAGGAGCAGGAAGAGGTCACGTTGGGGTCATCAGGGTGACCCTGCAGGGCTGTGCCCAGTCAGAGGAGGCCCAGAAACTGCCCACTACCTTCAGGACCCCAGGGCCATGGTGAATCTAATGCCCCGGGGGGCAGCAGCCCTGGACCCCTCTCCGGAGCTGAGCTGCAATGGGGTGGGGCCCCGCCCCGGAGGAAAGCAGTTCCTGGGACGGAGGTTACGGCGGGGCGGGGGCAGCCAGGGACAGCTGCCTCTGTCCTTCTCCAATTGCCTTTAAATTCAAACCTACAGGGCAGATTCACAAACTGGAGAAGGTCCCAGGGCCCGGCACCCAGATCCGGGCAGCGCGACAGTCCCAGGAACAGCAGTGGCGGCCCCACCGTCCGCTGGCCTGTCTCCCGTAGCCGTGTGAGGCGACCCGCGGGCTTAGTGGCAGCACAGCTGCCTGCCCGGGCCGCCTCAACTCTCCCACAGCGTCCATCACACGGGGCCCCCGTCCTCTGCCTGTGGACGGGGGTTAAGCGCCCACCCAAGGATGAGGCTGCCCCGGCCTGAGTCACAGGAGGGACTGGCAGGTGCTTTCCAGGGAAGCTGCAGGGGCTCGGGACCCTCGATGCTGGGTTTGACCCGAGCTGAGGGGCTCTAGGTGGCGTCCCTGAGGAGAGGGACACTTGCGATGAGGGTGACACGTTTCTCTCCAGGGGCGACGTCGGAGGGAATGTCTGTACACTCTCACCTGCTATTGGGGGGGTTCCCGCCTCCCTGGAGGTGGCCAGGGCCCGTGAGAGGCTGCTGCTGGGCACACGGCGCAGCAGTGGGAACAGGGCAGCCCGGGGCCTCCCCGGGTCTCCTGGCAGAGTGGAGGCCTCCAGCAGTTGGAACAGGGCAGCCCGGGGCCTCCCCGGGTCTCCTGGCAGAGTGGAGGCCTCCAGCAGTTGGAACAGGGCAGCCCGGGGCCTCCCCGGGTCTCCTGGCAGAGTGGAGGCCTCTAGCAGTGGGAATAGGGCAGCCCGGGCCCTCCCCGGGTCTCCTGGCAGAGTGGAGGCCTCCAGCGGTGGCAAAGGACACCCAGAGGCCCGGGACAGCCGGCCCTCACCTGCCCTGGGCACAGAGAGGCCCTGCTGGGTGGCCAGGGCAGTGCGGCAGCCCCGACAGAGCAGGTTGGGCCACCCAGCTCAGCACCAAGGCAGGTCCGGCCGCCCTGGGCTGCGGCCACAGAACCCGACTCTCCCTCTGAGGTCCGGTTCTGCTTCTCCCTGGCTGGCTGGGCAGTGCTGGGGAGGAGCAGCACGCAGCAGCAGCGTGACGCGGACACCAGCCTTGGCCAGTGAACCACGCGGCCTTGGCCAGTGAACCACGCGGCCTTGGCCAGTGAACCACGCGGCCTTGGCCAGTGAACCACGCGGCCGTCCCAAGGCCTCGGGCCACGAGGAGCCCCTTTATCAGGTAGCTAAGAACAAAAGGCGCCCCCGCCCCAGCCACATTTGGAACAATACATTTTTAAAAAGTCTGAATGGGACTCAGCACTCAAACCCCCCTGGTCAACAAGCCGCTGGACATGTCCACCATGAGGTGACCTGAGAGAACTTTAGTGCGTTTCTTGCTCCAGAATGAGACTGTGGAGCCCAAGGGAAGCCCGTCCAGCTGTGGGGCCAGGGCGGCTGCAGGGATGGCCCTGCACAGGATGGCTGCAGGGATGGCCTTGCATGACAACATGCCCCCCCCCCGGGGCGGGAGGTCGCGCTCCTGTGTAACAACCACACCACACTGAGGTCACGCCAAAAGGACGACCCACAGGGCACCTTCAAGCCCACAGCACCAAGTCCCAGTGCCCTGGATGGCACGTGTTCTGGAAGATCCTTCACTTGGTAAGCCTTTATTAGACACCACTGCACGCAGGGCCACAGAGGCGGGAGGTATGCTCTGAGCCACGCAGGGCAGCTCTCAGCCCTGGGCCAGGGAAACAGTGGCCACACAAGCTGCTGGCAGTGCCAACTGGGCCTGGCGGTTTGGCCTCTCAGAGTGCCCTGAGGCCACGTGGTGGGGGGCAGAGGGAGCAACGGGGCAGCAAGGCAGGTCGGGGACCGTGCCGCTGCCAGAGCGTGCAGGGGCCTCCAGGAATAGCCCTGGGGGTGCAGCCCCACAGTCCCAGGCAGGAATGGCAATGCCACAAAGCACCAGGAAGATCACTGCCTACCGAGAGTCCCAGGCAAACTCGCATAAACCTGCCAATCAGCTGTCACCGGCTGCCGCAAATCAATCAGGGCACAGAACCCGGGGAGATTACTGTTTCCAAATCCTTCTCCCCGAGACTACAGCACACACGAATAGGTGTTCCTGTCTTCTGCAAACCTCCTACCCATCAGTCAGACGGTGACACAACAAAATTAACAACACTGAGGCAGTGGGGGCAGTGCTTCGTCACTCTGTCAAGACAGGCGGCAGCTCCTGAGTCGCTCGGGCCAGCGGCGCTCTCCTGTCCCTGGGAGGGTCTCCTCACCGCCCGCCCACCTCCATGCCCTCCCTGCCATCTGCAGACAGAGCTGGTGGGGCCAACCGTGGGGGCCTCTGGGGACCATGGCGGTGATTCCAGTGCCCAGCAGGGAGACGGGCAGCTGGAGCAGGGCAGCGAGGGGGCCCTGCCTCCCGCAGTGCAGAACAGGGCAGAGCCCTGGGCCGCGGAGCTCAGAGCCAGCCTCCCGCCCTACACGTCTGAAGGGAAAGCTTCCGTCCACTGCGAGGAGCTGGGCAGCGAGAGGAAGCGGGAGAGGGGGCAGCGCCCTGCCCTGAGAGGGAGCACGCTCCAGGCCCCGCCCCACTCCTGCGCCGGATCCTCCAGGGCCTGGCCACTTTCGCCAGGACCATGCTCCCCACCTGCCCTTCCCTACCCACTGTGCTGCAGGGAAAGCACAGGCGGCCGCGCCCCCCTGCAGGCTGCCAAGGACAGACCAGCAGGCGCCGGCATGGGCCAGGGGACGTCGCCAGGGATCCACGCCAGCATCTCCGAGTCTGCAGGGTCCCACCGCTTCCTTCACACAATCACCAGTCTCGCTCTGCTTCCTTCTCAGCACGGCTCTACTCACACGCCACGCACAGGCCACAGAACTCAGGCTGGGCCGGACGCGGTCCTCGGGGCGTGCACACCGCGCACACCGGCACCGACTGAGGCGGGGCTGGACGCGGTCCTTGGGGCGCGCACACCGCGCACACCAGCACTGACTGAGGCTGGGCCGGGCGCGGTCCTCGGGGCGAGCACACCGGCACACCGGCACTGACTGAGGCTGGGCCGGACGCGGTCCTCGGGGCGAGCACACCGGCACACCAGCACTGACAGGCTGGGCCGGACGCGGTCCTCGGGGCGCGCACACCGGCACACCGGCACTGACAGGCTGGGCCGGACGCGGTCCTCGGGGCACACACACCACGCACACCGGCACTGACTGAGGCTGGGCCGGACGCGGTCCTCGGGCACGCACACCGGCACACCAGCACTGACTGAGGCTGGGCCGGACGCGGTCCTCAGGGCACGCACACCGGCACTGACTCAGAGCGCACTCAGCACCTGGGGAGATGCTGCCCCACAGCCACCCCCGCCCGCAGGACTGCCCACCCTGGACATCGCAGAACTGGAGTTCTCAGGGCTCCGGTGCTATAACTCAGTGCTTCCCTGCTTCCGTAACTGATGGCCACTGCGTGGACATTCCACGCCGCAGTGGCCACTGCCCGGGTGTGTGACGCCTCTGTGGACTGTGGCCACACTGCAGTGACCACTGCCCAGGTGTGTGACGCCTCTGTGGACATTCCACGCCGCAGTGACCACTGCCCGGGTGTGTGACGCCTCTGTGGACATTCCACACTGCAGTGACCACTGCCCTGGATGGGCTCCTGCTGCTCCCACTGCTGGGCCGCTGTGGGCAGCCGTACACAAGTGTCTGTGTGGACAGCCACGCACAGCTCTGAGTCCGTGGAGTGTGGAACGCAGTCCGTTTATTTTGGAGCAACAGATTTTTGAAACCCACGCAGAGCAGGGGCCTTCAGCAGGTCATGGGAAATGCATGTCGTGATTTCAAAGAAGAGCCGGCCAAAGTCAACTGACCTCGGGACCCACCCCCAGGGCTCTCTGAGCTTCCCTCGTGTGGCTTCACGCTCTGGCCGAGGCAGCTCCGCCACGCCAACGCCCAGTGCTCTGCTGCAAACCGGCCCCTCCCTTCCTCGCCCAGTGCCCAACCCAGCCTTTCCCACCGCGTCCCCCGGCCGAGCCGAGACTCCCTTCTGCAGGTGCCGGCCTGTGGGCTGGCCGGGCCCACCCACCTCTGGCCACACGACGCCTGGGGCGAATGGCCGCGTGTGCAACGGCTCGGAGGACGAGCCTGGGAGACACACCCTGGTGAGGTCGGGACTTCAAGACACGCTTGGTAAGGGCCTTGGACGGCCCACGGCCACACGCAGGGCGCGGACCCGCTGCGGACGGGCGCCCGCTCGCGGGGCAGGAGGCGCGACCCACCTTGTTCAGGTGCAGCTGCTGCTGGAACTGCTGCTTGTGCTTCTCCAGGAACTGCTGGTGCTGCTGCTGGATGACCAGGTGCTGCAGCGCCTGCGCGTTCTGCGGCAGCGGCGCCGACTGCGTGCGCCCCAGCGGGCGGTGCTGCCGCAGCTTGTGGATGGATGGGGACACCCGGTCTGCACCAACCAGGGGCTGTGTGTGGAGGGGCAGTGCTCCCAGGCCTGAAAGATACCAGTCTGAAGATAACATGGAGGAAAAACAGCAGAGGGGAAGAGGAAGAAGAGGGGAGGGAGAAGGCCGTTGAGTGAGTGATGGCGACCACGGCACGCACCTGCCAGCCCTGGCGCCCGCTGCCCGCCGCTCTGGGCTGTCCCGCCGCCCGGGGCCTGTGCCTGGGCTTCGGGGGTGCAGACTGACGCCTGGGGCAAGGCAGCGACGGCCACACTACCTCTCAGCCAACCACAGGCGCCAGATGGTTGGCTTTGATCAGGGAGAGGCTGTGCCCAGGAGGCTACCACTGCTCTGGTGGCCTCCACCGTGGCTCTTCCTAAGCAAAGATGCAAAAAAGCATTGTCCCAGGGCTCAAGTCATCCCAAGGGTCTCTCTCAGCGCTGATTCCTGCAAGATGCCAGCAATACCCTTCAGGTACTAAGGCTCAGTGCCCAGGCTGCACACTGACACCTGCCTGGGGCAGGAGGTGCTGGCACATCACGTCCTCACCTGCCATGGAGGGTGCTGGCACATCACGTCCTCACCTGCCCACGGAGGGTGATAACACATCACACCCTCACCTGCCCATGGAGGGCGCTAACACAGCCCACCCTCACCTGCCATGGAGGGCGCTGGCACAGCCCGCCCTCACCTGCCATGGAGGGCGCTAACACAGCCCGCCCTCACCTGCCATGGAGGGCGCTAACACAGCCCGCCCTCACCTGCCATGGAGGGCGCTAACACAGCCCGCCCTCACCTGCCATGGAGGGCGCTAACACAGCCCGCCCTCACCTGCCATGGAGGGCGCTAACACAGCCCACCCTCACCTGCCATGGAGGGCGCTAACACAGCCCACCCTCACCTGCCATGGAGGGCGCTAACACAGCCCACCCTCACCTGCCATGGAGGGCGCTAACACAGCCCACCCTCACCTGCCCACAGAGGGCGCTAACACAGCCCACCCTCACCTGCCATGGAGGGTGCTAACACAGCCCACCCTCACCTGCCATGGAGGGTGCTGGCGTGCCACGGTCCCCTGCCCATGTTTCTAAGGGAAAAGAACCTGCATTGAGAGGAGCTGCTGTTTCCCCTGCGTCTGCGTCATGTCTACGTGCAAGCTGCTCATGTCCGTCGCTCACAGGCCTTCAGCAAGGTCCACGTTTTCCCTGTTGCACTGGTCATAGCACACCGGGACAGCTCATGCTTCCTGCGGCACGTTGCTGGTTTAGGAGTCTCCCCGGCAGCCACGCTCAGGAGTGCGGCAGCCCCTCGGTCAGGCAGGACCGATGGGTGTGAGGACACCAGCTCCTGGTGGCCCCGAGTGGGCATCTGCCTGAGGCGTCCTTGCGTCCTTGCACTGGGGGGGGGGGGGCTGCAGGGCTTCAGGTCTGTCCTGGGAGGCGGTGGCTGCCTGGTGGACTCTGCTCAGGGACCCCGGAGCCCGGGCGGGCAGGGCAGCAGCGCCGTCAGGGTGGTGGCTCCTGGAAGCCCCCATGGCCCTTCCTCTCCTAGTGTCTCTCTCGTCTCTGCGGAGGCTGCCGTTTGACACACAGTCAGAAAGACAGGCAAACGCGCGCCCTCCCCACCTGTCTACAGGCAGCTGTCACTGCCACTTCCCACAGCACCACTGCTTCTCCCCACAACAGCTCCCCGGGAGCTGTGACCTTAACTGTGTCAAGAAGGAGGTTCAGAACCCAGCCACGGCTGACTTCAGCGACCCGGGGATGGGAACCGATCCACAGAGGAAACGGGCGCGTCCGTGACCCTGCGCTGCCTCCACGGGGTCGAGGGTCGCCTCGTCCCTGGAAAGGCCTGTTCTCAGACGGCAGTGGGAGCTGGGGTCGATCGGCCGAGGTCTCAGCACACACGGGCCATCCACCTGGCCTGGCACCCGAGCCTGGCGGGTGCCCGGGGCGGGGGAGGCGGCTGGGCGGCACGACAGTCGGGCGCCAGGCCCTCCCCTGCGTCCTGCAGGCACTCACCTGTCACGGGCGGCTGCTCCAGCAACACCATGTGCTGCAGAAGGGGGCTGTGCGCTGCCCCGCCGTCCCGCTCCAGGGGCGAGGTGCTCAGGTAGGGGGCGAGGTGGCTGCCAGGGAACAGGGAGATCCGCTGCTGCAGGGCGGGGAGCGCCAGCCTCTCGGTGTCCTGCTGGGCCGCTGCGCCCTGCAAGGCAGAGCCGGGAAGCTGCAGCTGCGGGCCGGGCCGGCCAGCCCCGCACGCGGCCCTGCGGGGAGCACTTACAGCAGACGGGCCGGTGGCCGGAAGTCCTAAGGTGATGTTGGGCAGGGATGGCGACGTGTAGAGAGGGAGCGGGGCCACAGAGCCTTCTCTCGTCACGAGCCTGGGCGCCAAGCTGGCCTGCGGACAGAAGCCAGGATGGTTGTCACCCACAGCAGCACCGCCCGGGGGAATGACGGCGACACCGCACTGGTCCCGACACCTGGTGTGAAGCCAGGCTGAACACACGGCAGGAGACCGGAAACGCACACGGCGGCTCGGGGTGGCTGCGCTCCTGGCCGGGCTCCCTATCCCCTGTGCTGATACGAGCAGAGGCAGTCCAGCCTGCAGAGGGCGTGGAACAACCCGTCCGTACCTGAACGTGGCCATGGCCTCCCCGTTGTGGCGTCTAAGTCAGAAACCAGAGAGGAATCAGTGAGCACCAGCCAGATTCCCAGCATACGGGAGGAGACAACGGTGCCGGCCGTGCTGGCAGTGTGCAGGACGGAGGTGACCCGGGACAAAGGCACGGCGCAGCCCCCGGGGCGACGGACAGCTCCACAGCCCCGTCACCTACACCCACGCTGTGTCACGGCGGTGATACCACGTGGGCCCAGGGACACACAGCCTCGCACCGGCTGGATGAGCTCTTTCCGTAGGACCACTCGCGATCTATGTTGGAACCTAAGAACGCTCCGACCTTTGACTCCGTTAGCATACAGCTGGGAGGTGACGGGGACGGGGGCGGAGCTCCACAGCCTCTGGGTGGTGCTGACTGAGGCCTGGGGGTGCCGGGGAGTCCACGGACAGCGCTCAGCGCGCTCAGCTCCCAGAATAACGTGCTTCTAAAGCCACGGGCTCAGACACGTCCTGCAGGAGCCAGAGCGCAGGGTCAGAGCTGGGGGAGGCTGCTGGGGCCTGGCGTGGCCAGAGCTGGGCAGAGGGCAGGTGGCCCTGCACAGCGGAGCTCGGCGGCGCTCGCCGGAAGAGGATAGTGCCCTGACGCAGCCGGCGGGCGCCGCAGCCAGCGACCTCAGTGGCCAGTGTGCTCGCTCGGCTCGCGGCGGCCTGAGTCACCGAGGAGAGACACTGAACGTTCTGAGTTTCGCCGAGGAAGCTTTTAGGAAAGGAAAGTTACCACAACGCGAGCAGCCTGCAGCCCTGGTGGAGACCCGCGTCCTCCTCCCCGGGAGGACGGGTGGCCACAGGTCAGCCCAGCTGTCCCTTCCGCACCTCCACAGCCCCACGCGCCTTGCTTTCCTGTTCTCCTAAAGATCTCTTATTTCATCTGAAAAGCAGAGCTACACAGAGAGAGGGAGAGACAGAAAGAGGTCTTCCACCCGCTGGTTCACTCCGCAAAGGACCGCAGCAGCAGGGGGCCCTGGGAAGTCAGAGCAGCCCTGGGGCTCGCGTGGAGCCAGGCGCCACCTGCAGGGCTGGGGGAGGCTGAGCCTCTCTGGCCCGGGGCCTCCCAAGTACACCAGCGCTTCAGGCTCAGAGACAAAGCAGGTGCACACAGACCGGGGCCCTGCGCCCGCTGTGCCTGCCGCTGGGCAGCCTGCTGCTCCCAGATCCACAGGAAGGACGCGCCAGCCTAGGCCAGGAACAGTAGAAAGTTCCGAGCCGTGTCCATTTCTAATGAGGTCTGAAGTCCGCGAAGGACGCGCTCCGTGTTGTAATGGAAACGCGCCCAGGACCCGACCACCGCTCTCCCACACGTCCGGGATTTCTCCGTGTTGCTAGTTTACAGCAGCTTCACGTACACGTCACAGCGTTTGCAGAAAAGAGCGCACAGCAGAAACCGAGGCCTCGTGCATCCACTCGACACGCGCGGCTGCAGCACTAACACTGTAGGAATCACCACACCGAATCGCATCAGCGCCGCTGGCCGCGTGAGCAAGGCGGGACCCGGGTTAGCACCACGCCTCCGGCGCAAGTCTCAGGCTATCGCAGTCGGTGTCAGCCACGGCCTCGGTCTTACAGAGGAGGACGGTTACAATGTTCAATGATCTAAGTGAGTGCTTGACCGGTGGCGCGGAGGGCAGAGACCATACCAGAGCCAGCTGCAACCTCGCGTCACCACGTCGTCCTGCCTCGAGGTCCAGCGAGCACTGGGCCCTGCCTGTCCCCAGGGGATGGCACCTGGGGGGACGGGATTCCTTTCAGTAGTCGGGAAAGGAGACGAAACACCCGTGTGTAGTGCGTGATAGCCTCCGGGAGCCACGAGCACACAGAGCGCCCCACCTACGGGCACACAGAGCGCCCGCCGCAGGCACACGGCATCCGAGGGAGTCAGGAGCACACAGAGCGCCCGCTGTGGGCACACAGAGCGCCCCACCTACGGGCACACAGAGCGCCCGCTGCAGGCACACGGCATCCGAGGGAGTCAGGAGCACACAGAGCGCCCGCCGCGGGCACACGGCATCCGAGGGAGTCAGGAGCACACAGAGCGCCCGCCGCAGGCACACGGCATCCGAGGGAGTCAGGAGCACACAGAGCGCCTGCCGCGGGCACACGGCATCCAAGGGAGTCAGGAGCACACAGAGCGCCCGCTGTGGGCACACAGAGCGCCCCACCTACGGGCACACAGAGCGCCCGCTGCAGGCACACGGCATCCGAGGGAGTCAGGAGCACACAGAGCGCCCGCCGCGGGCACACGGCATCCAAGGCTCATGGTGTCGGAAGGCTCGCTGCCCGGGCCGCCCTCTGGGGCCCTCGCGGAGGGCCTTGCCCTGATAGCCCTGGGCGCTGAGCTGAGTGGGCCTCGGCCACCTCCTGGCATGTTCTCGCTTGGCCCGGGCCCAGGACGTCAGAGACCCTCGTGAAGTAAGGGCAGGGTGTGAAGGGTCCAGGTGATGGGAGCCGTGCCCAGGCTCACCCTGGCTGTGACTGAGGGCACGGCCCACAGCCGGCCTCCTCCCCACTCCGCTCCCAGCTCTGCCATCGGCACTGCGGGGGATTCCAGGGCCCTCCGTGCAGCACTGGGCGGCTGAGGAAGGACGGGGCGCAGGTCTCGATCCCTGGCTGCCCTCCAGCTCTCCCCGACCCGACCCGTGGATTGTTGGTCGACATGTTAATTTGTGGCTTTTTCAACACACAACAGCCATGAACGCTCTCACTCCGCAAGGGTTCCCGTGCACCCAGGGCCTCCTGGAGGGCCCTGCTGCTGCCCAGGGCGCTGTGGGCACCCAGGCTGGTATGAGGCCGTCTGAAACACGCTCTGGAAGAGGTCAGGCACCACGTCGGGCTCAGAGCGGTGGCCTGGCCACTCCTGCACACACCCCGCGGCCCCAGGGGGAGCCAGGCAGGCACTTGAAGTCGCCCCCGGGGAGGGCAGCAGCAAACGCGACGCAGCAGACACGGCACTGACCTCAGTGGGGATGCTGGGTGCGGCCGGCACACCGCCGTTCTCCGTGCTGACGTTCCCAGAGCTGTTGTTGTTGGGCGAGCTGGGCCCGGAGCCCGGGGCGCTGCTGCACGCAGAGTCTGGTGGGGCAGAAACGTCCGGTGAGCGCGGCCTGAGCAATGGGTCCCCGCAGGGCACGGCGCAGCTCACCTGCAGCCCAGCGGCGCCGGCCTGCCGGGACGCCTGCTGTGGGCTTGGGACTGTGGAAACCCGACAGGAGGGACACGCCTGTGCTTCTGCACAGGGAGCCTGCGGCCAGCGCCCCGAGTCTCAGGCCCGCCCTGCTGTCCGCATGAGTCTGCGGAGCTCACGCTCCAGCAAGCCCCGTCAGGGGCTCAGGATACACACGGGGAGCCGTCGTCTGCCTCCTGAACTGCAGGAGCTATTCAAGTCCCAGGGAGATAAGCTCTCAGCCACCGCCACGTTCTAACCACAGAAGACCAGGAAGCACAGAGCAAATGACTGAGCGGTGAAAGGTCACATGCACTGCGCTCTCCAGAAAAACTCACTTCGAAACCAGGCCGCCCGCTGCTGGCGCTCTGAACTTGAGCTCGTGTGCAGCACAGCACCAGGTGCGGGCGCAGACGCAGCCAGCGGCGTCTGGGCTTTGTCCTTGCGGTCCACAAGCGTAAGGAGCCTTTCGCCCTCGGAGCGGCTCAGCCCCGGTGCCAGCGAGAGCCGTGTGGCCGGGGAAGCCACACTCAGCACCAAGCTCCCTCTCTTGGCCACGGCAGCCACTACTGCTGCTGCCACGCAGCCGAGGTCTCTGTGGCTCTCAATGTTAACAAGGCTCCAGGCTTCTGAAGTTGGGTTTAATGGCTGCTTAGTAACAGCAGCACCTGGGGCCAAGTTTCCAAAGGAAGGGCAATGCGAGCTGCATGCTTGGAACATTCCGGGAGTGCACCACCAGGGGGCGCTGCCGCGGTGGCAGCAGGTCTTCCGCGGGCTACACCGCAATTTCTCCTGTGCTCAGGCACGGTGCACTGGCGGGAGAAGACTCCAGGACCGTCCAGTGACTCTGACTGCGACCACGGAGCAGGGGGGCGGTGAGCGGGCAGGAACACCGGTTCACCACCGCCGGGGCAGGGGAGACCCACCCAGCCCCTGCAGACATGCCCACAGTGCCGCACCAGCTCACAGCCCTGCCCTGGCGCTGCCCGGGAAACCGCAGCGCTGTGCAGCTGGCGCTGGAGCAGGGACTTGGCGAGGGACTCCGGGTCGCCGAGCCTGGGTGGCCAGGCTTTGCGGACCTGGCACGAGGGGCCCAGGACTGCACGTGGCCAAGCATGTCAGGCAGACTGAGTGTCCAGAGGCTCCGGGAACAGCTGCGGTGACACACGCGCCCACGCACCCGCCATACCTGTGACATCCAACGGACGCTTTTTGAGAGCGGTGACCACTGGCCCATCCTTCCTGCGCAGCAGGGGGCTGCTCCGCCTCTCGGCCACTTTCTGCTTGAGCCGGGACCGCAGTTTCAAGTTGGGTTCAGAAGCTGCACACACAGGAGATGTGGTTACGACATGCGGGCCAGCTGGATTCACGGGCATCTTGCGGGCAGTTCAGCGACACGCACTGTGGGCAACATCTGCTGGCAGTGACAGGCAGGCACACGGGAGCGTGGGCTGCACTTGTGTGGACACGGAGTCCCCACGTGTGGGTGACGTCTGACTTAGTGGTCATGACGGGGAACGGGCGAGGTGTGCCAGCAGCATAAAGGCAACATCTCTCACGTAATATTCTCCTAAACAATGTACCCATATCTTTAAAGCAGTGCTGCTCCAAGATCTGGGAAAATGACAAACAAGGGATGACTTGAGGCCCATGAACAATATTACCTGAACCATACACTTTAAAACATTAATTTACGGGGCTGGCGCCATGGCTCACTTGGCTAATCCTCCGCCTGTCCAGCTCTCTGCTGTGGCCCAGGAAGGCAGTGGAGGATGGCCCAAGTGCTTGGGCCCTGCACCCACGTGGAGCACCCGGCTCCTGGCTTTGGATCCGCATAGCTCTGGCCGTAGCGGCCATTTGGGGGGTGAACCAACGGAAGGAAAACCTTTCTCTCTGTCTCTCTCTCATTGTCTATAACTCTACCTGTCAAATAAATAAATAAAAAAAAACTTAAAAAAAATTTACTTACGTGAAAGGCAGAGTGACAGAATGAACAGAGTGATCTTCCATCTACTCGTTCACCCCCCAAATGGCCACAGCAGCCAGGTCTGGACAGGCCAAAGCCAGGAGCCAGGAGCCAGGAGTTCCACCCGGGTCCCCCACATAAGCAGCAGGGTCAGAGCACTCGGGTCACCATCCGTCGTCTTCCCGGGTCGGCAGTGGATGACGGGACTTGCACCAACACCGTGATGTGGACGCCGGCGCTGACGGGCAGATGAACCCGCCGTTCCACACAGCAGCCCCTCCGTAGGCTGCCTCGTGAGATGGCCCCACGGCTGACAGCGCAGAAGCAAAACACCAGGCAGCCTCGGCGAAGGGCTGGTGGGCTCTGAGGCACGGGGGCCCTGCTCTGGGCCTGGAGCCCCTGGGGGAAGGGCTGTGAGTCCGCAACGGGCCGCCGAGGGCATCGCCAGGGCAAAGGCCAAGGCTCGCGGCGGCTCCTCCCGGCCGTCCCGTGGAGACGGGGAGGGAGATCTTAGAGGCCGAGCCCTGAGTGCAAAGCTGCTGCCTTCAAAGGGAGAGAGACAGGGCGAAGGTCCCACGCCCAATCCGCGAAGCCCCGGGTCAGAAGCGCCGACGGGTCCCAGCGAGGGGTCCCAGCGGAGCCGCGCAGAAGCGTCCTGTCTGGGGGAGCGGCGCCAGGAGACCCTCGCGGCTGGGAGCTCTCGGCTCAGTTCTGGGGACAAAGAATGGGGCTCGATGCCAGAATGCTCCGGAGGGCTCCTTCCCCCCAAACCCTCGGCCAATCCTGGATGTCGGAACAGAGATCTGCCAGCACGCGTGGCTTCCAAAACGCTCCCTCCACGCAGGACTTGCGTGGACTGCTGGGAGACGTGCACAGCCAAGGTGAGTGGGGGAGCACGCTGATGGGCCCAGGGAGGAGCCTCAAGGCAGGGCGTGGTGACAGGGGGGCGGGGCTGGGGTGCACTGACAGGTTCACACGACAAGTCAGGCTGTGGCTTTAGCGGGAGGCGTCTGACCTGCTCCCAGGGAGGCCGTGGTGCCATCCTGTCTGGGTGAGCTCCACACAGGCGACCCCCCTTCCCCTGGGCATTGTGGTCTTGACCCCACTCGCACCTGCCGTTCCCACTGCCACACAGACGGCACCGCTGCCCCCGCCGGGGGCCACCTGCCGGGACGCCCGCTGCGAGGGCCGGGCCTGTGCAGAGCAAGAGTGAGGTGGGCGTACAGCGTACTTCGTGCATCGGAAACGACCGCCGGTGTCTGCGCGGCGGCTGTGAACTTGGGTGTCAGCGACAGCGGGAAGGGCAGAGCCAGGGTAACACTTGTCAGGGCGGAAGCTTGAGGGGCTGCTGTTGGCAGCCACAGACCCCGGGCAGCCCAGCACCACCCACGGTCCCAGGACCCCAGCCTCCTCCCAGTTCACACCCAGTGTGGGGGCCTGGCCCTGCCGTCGGGGTGAGGATTCAGGACGAGGCTGGGGTTGCCGACTTGAAACAGACCACAGGCCTTAGGATCTCGCTTCCTCGAAGCCACCAGCAGCCACACCACGCCAGTGTGGCGGCCGCCGGGGAGTTCTGCCAACAGGGCCTTCTGTCCCGGGCCACCCTGGACCCTGGCCAAGGAGCTCCCTGGGGTGCACTTCTCAGTGCTGAGGGCGAAGACGTTGCCAACTGCAGGGAGGAGGGCTGCGTTGGCGAGACCACGGTCATGTTCTGGTTTGGCCTTGTTTCATCAGCACAGGACAATGGAAGAATGGCTGCCTAGGGCCAGCACTGGGGCACAGCAGGTGAAGCCAACGCCTGCAACACCAGTATCCCACGTGGGCACCGGTTCTAGTCCCGGCTGCTCCACTTCTGATCCAGCTCTCTGCTGTGGCCTGGGAAAGCAGTAGAAGATGGCCAAGTCCTGAGGCCCCTGCACCCGCGTGGGAGACCTGGAAGAAGCCCCTGGCTCCTGGCTTCAGCCTGGCCCAGCACCAGCTGTTGCAGCCATCTGGGGAGTGAGCTGGTGGATGAAAGATCTTTCTCTCCCCCTCTCTGCAATTCTGCCTTAAATAAATAAATATTTTAAACAAAAAGAGAGAGTGGTTCCTGCAGATCAAGACGGAGATGCTCCGAGAGAAAAACGAAGCCGCAGATGACGCAGCCGCACTCTAAGTGACAGAGCGCCCAGCCGAACCCCAGGCACTGGAGTGTCCCTGTAAGAGTCAGTCCCTGCATGTGCTACGCTTCAAGACTTCATTTAAAGTCACGTAGGGAGCGTCTTTTGTTTATTTGTTTTCATCTAGAAAGGCAGAGAGAGAGTGAGAGAGCGCGTTTCCATCCGCTGGGTCACAGCGTCAGTGTCTGCAACAGCGAGGGTTGGGCCAGGCCAGAGTCAGGAATCCAGAACTGCTCCTGGGCTCCCCCACGGGCAGCAGGGGCCCAAGCGCCTGAGCCGCCATCTGCTGCTTCCCAGCATGCACTGGGAGGAAGCTGGCCTGGACGCAGAGCAGCGGGACTTGACGGGCACTTCCATACGCACGCGGCCCTGGTAGCAGCCCGGTAGCTTCAGACACAAGCTGGGGTTCTCGTGGCCAGAGGGGCCACAGGAAGGACCTCAGCACCACCACCTGGTGGGAGGCGGAGACCCCTGCTGTCCATCACCCAGGAGAGGGGTGCAGCCCCTCGCAGGAAGTCAAAATTGGGCCAGAACCGGGCCAGGGCATCTGACTGGAGCCTGGATCTAGAAGGGTCAGCCTGGTTCTGAGCTCTGGGTGCCGTGCAGGTGGCGAAGGCCTGGCAGCATCCGGATGAGCCCTGAGCCCCGCAGGTGAGTGCAGCGGCTCCTGCCGTGCCCGGCTGCATCGCGGACCCTGTGGGAGGCCCTGGGGAGCTCTGCCTGGCAGGATCCGGTCACAGGCTGGGGACAGGAGTGAGAGCTTCCAGGGGCCAGAGCCGAGCCCCTCTCCCACACTGTCCTGGGGGATGCACCTGGCAAACACAGGCTCCCACAACTCCTGATGGTCTCAGGAGGGTGCAGACCTACAGTGGCACTTTGCAGACAGCAACCTGAGCCACAGAGGCAGGACCTGGCGCAGATGTGGGCCGTGGGGGCGACCTCAGCTCCCTGAGCGTGCAGAAGCCCGGGAAGGCCACGCTGCTCCGTGAGGGCGTCAGAGGCTTTGGGCTCGAGGCGAGCTGGCCCCACAGGGACACACGGCGGGCTGAGCGGTCAGCGGGGCAGTGTCCACCCACCATGCCCTGCCCCGTACAGACAGGCAAACCCCAGCATGGCGTCACTGCAGAGTGAGCACGAGTCTACGCGTGGTGCTTCGCGGTGAGAATGCCACCCGGGAAGTCGCCCGGGGTCCTGTCCCTCACAGAGGGCACACGAGTGAGTCCCTGGAATCCGACTTGCAGAGGGCACCCCTAGGCCCCCACGGCACGCTGGGCTCGAATGCCGCCGGCGTGCAGGCACGGCCCTGGGAGGAGGCAGCCTGCACCCCAGCAGGCGCCGGAGACGCGGCTTCCCAACATCCCCAAAGCAGCACAGCTCGGGGCAGGAAGCGGGGGGAGGGGCGGGAGGCGCAGACAGCTGCCCGACCCCCATGGGACAGAGGTGCCAGTCTGCCAGCCCCCATGCTGGGTTTCCCGGGTCTTTGCTGCAAACTGTGCCTGCCGGCCTTTGTCTCGGCACGGGCGGCCGCCCCAGGTGTGGCTGACAGAAAGAAACTGACGCACACGTCGCTGACTGCTGGTCTGCCGGCAGCTGGGGCAGCCTCCCGGGGACCCCTTGAGCGAGGGCCAGCTTCCGCACACAGCGCCTCAGAGCACCGAGGGCGCCGGTCACCACGCCTGGGACCACCGGAGAGGCTGCCCACGGTGCACACCTGGCACCTTGCCTGGATGTGGGTGTGGTCAGGCCCTTTGCGGATGGCCGGGAGACGCGAGAGTGCCGGTCGGCGACCCCGGGGCGTGCCGAGCAGCCGTCCCGGCGGTGGGCGCGCACTGACCTGTCTTCCTGAGCGGGAAGTCGTCTTTGGTGTCGTACATCCCCAGCACCGGGTGGGCGTAGGAGGCGGACGTCCCGCTCTGGGGCGGCGAACTCTGGTCCAGGGAGCTGTGCTGCGTTTTCCTGGGGAAAAGGCAAAGGCTGAGGCTGCGTTCCCCCAGGGCACCGCCCGGCCCGCACGGAGCCCGGACGTGGCCCGCGCGCACGGCCCCCGCAGCCGTCGGCCCCCTGGCCAGGCCCGCCAGACCGCCTGCGGAAAGCAAAAGGAAACAGGGATGACCCCCGAGCACGCATAGGAGCCACAGCTTCCGCGCCGCCTCAGCGCTCTGGTCCGCACGCAGCTCAGCCTCTCTCCCCGGCTCTGGTCTGTCCTGCGACGCCAGGCCTGTGCTCGGGGGGCTGGGCCGGAGCAAACAGGTGGGAGTGCACGCGGTGGTGTCTGGGGCTCCTGTCTGCAGCGGAGTCACTGTCTCCCGAGCCTTCCCCAGAACTAAGCCACCGGGGGCGGGGGCAGGTTGGCAGCCTCTGGCCCCTCCCCCAGGCGCTGACCTGCGAGCCAGGCACTGCCCACCATCCCGACAAGCAGGAGAGGAGCCGCGGCCACCAGGACGCCCCCACGGGGACCTGGGGCGGCACCGCCTGTGGAGCCTTGCTGAAAACAGCAAGTTGAACAACTTCTGAGTCGCTGGGTGTGACCTGCCTAACGACCAGAGCCGAGAGTACAAGCGCTCCCTCGGGGGAATTCGTTAGTGTTCTAGCTGAGCGCTCAGCAGGCCAGCTCAGGCACCGGCAGTGGTCCGGATGCGTCGGCAGTGCACACAGGTGCACACGGTAGGCTCTGAGAGCGCACCCTGCAGGGGTGCTGAGGGGCACAGGGACCCAGCGGGCTCGGGGCTGCCGGCCCAGCGGGCGTCTGCCTCCTGGAGGGGGGAAGTGCACAGGGCCCGGGAAGATGCAGCCCCTTCAGGCCCTGCCCCCACACTGTCCCCAAGTGGCGCTGGCAGGACTGAGACGGGCACAGCTGCACCCATGCACTGGTAGCCTCATTGCGGGGCTACCTCCCTAGGCCCCGGGACCTTCAGACCAGCACAGCCCCAGGCCTCCAGCGGAGCTGGGCCTCTCACGGCATCAGCTTCCAGACCGTATCCTCGCCCGACTGCTAACGTGTCCTTGGAGCCATGTGGCGACCGGGGCCGCGTCTACACTCGCGTCCTGCCTCGGATCACGTGTGAGTCAGAGATGGCTAGCCGCACGGTGATAAGTAATTCAAGTCAGCAGACACGGCCTTACTGTAATCTAACAGCAGGGTCCGTTTCTAGTGAAGGCCAGAGTTGGAAAGGCTTCGTTCCTCCAAGAGCTAGTGGGTTCTCTGCTGAGGTGCTGGCCATATCAGAATCCTCACTCGGTCAGACCTTGAGATGAGCTGACCTGAGCCCCTGCTGGCAGTGCCCGGCTGCAAGTCCTCGCAGTCAGCAAGTGACCAGGTGCGTGCCCAGCGCAGCTTCCCCAAACACCTGGCTGAGGACCGGGCCCCGCTGCTCTGCCTGGTCCAGGGCCAGGAAGGGAGACCACGGCCCCCACCATAACCAGGCTGCAGCCTGGCGGTGTCTGTGGTAAAGAAGGTTCTGGAAGTGTGAGGAAAGTGAGACCCAGCCCTGGCTGCACCAACACCCCAGCTCACACAGGCACTCACATGGCCAGACACACCCACACCCCGAGGCAGCCGTCCAGAGCCAACTCAGCCCTGACCAGGCTCATTCCCGCCTTTCTCAACCATGACTCCGGGTCCTGGGAGGGCAGCATGAGGTCAAGGCCGGAAGGCAGCGGCACTCGGTGCGGCCTGGGCCGGGGCAGCCACCTAGCACTGTTATCTCCAAGGCAGCCCTGTGGCCCCGATGAAAGTGGGGGACAAGCACCGCTGTCTTCTCGCTGAAATCACCTGCACTGCAGAAGACGCTGCGGCCAGAGCCAGCCGCTCGCCCCACGGCAGCGGCCCTCCCCACCACTGCAGATTCACACCGGGAGGCAAGACAGGACACGCCTGTCGCTCACGCACAGGCCAATGAAAACGCAACTGAGCTGCGGGTGTGGCTCCAGTTTTCCAGTCGCCACTAGGACACACTGGGAAGGCGGTGAATTAACGTCAGTGGTCTGTTCCTCCCAGGGCAGCACAGCCTCCTCGTGATGCCCGGTGACACCGCCTTCCACGCCCTGGCCTCCCGCTGTGCGGCGGGGGTCCTGCCTTCCACAGACCAGCCGTGTTCTCAGGTGCTCCGAGGTGTCCCGGTGGCGTCCCGTCTCATGCAACGACCAGCGAGCTGGAGCTCGGACACACCTGACACTGGGGAAGCGCCCCCCCAGGGACAGCCGCTGCCCGCCTGCTGCAGCCCGCCCGGCTCCCAGGCCCCGGGTGCTTCCGTCCTGGGGGCGTTCCACTGACTCAGGATTCATGCGCCGGGACCCCCGGGACAAACGCTGTGTCCGACACACCTGACACGCCGCTGCTGGCTGTGTTCCCGGGCACAGGGACCCTCGGGTGCAAGACCATCGCCGGTTGATGAGAGCTTGGGAGTTTGCACGGTCTGTGCTTGGACCGTAGGAGCACTCGTCCCGGTGTGTGTCCAGGAGACACGGGGGGGGGGGCACTGTGTGTCCCAGGAGACACGGGGGGGGGGGGCACTGTGTGTCCCAGGAGACACGAGGGGGGCTCTGTGTGTCCCAGGAGACACGAGGGGGGTGCTGTGCGTCCCTGTGTGTGTCCCTGGCGACGTGGGGGGGGGCGCTGTGTGTCCCAGTGTGTGTCCCAGGAGACACGAGGGGGGCTCTGTGTGTCCCAGGAGACACGAGGGGGGCACTGTGCATTCCTGTGTGTGTCCCAGGAGACACGAGGGGGGACTGTGTGTCCCTGTGTGTGTCCCAGGAGACACGAGGGGGGCCGCTGTGTGTCCCAGGAGACACGAGGGGGGGGCACTGTTGCATTCCTGTGTGTGTCCCAGGAGACACGAGGGGGGACTGTGTGTCCCTGTGTGTGTCCCAGGAGACACGAGGGGGCTGCTGCTGGGCCACAGCGCAGGTGGACGTTGGCTCCCCCAGCCGCTGCCAATGGTTTCCAGTGTGCCGTGCCGCTGAGACACCCGTGGGCAGCCCGCAGACAAGCAGGTACCACACCCTTTGCTGACACATGGCCAGCGTAACGAGCCAGCTGGGTTGCGCGGCGTGCCCTGCCGTGGCTGGGCTCTGCGCGCTCGCTGGTGACTGGGGCGTCAGCCCTCTACCCACGGCCCGCTGGTGGCTCAGCTGCCTGGCGGAGGGGACCTGTCCACCCTTGTGCTCTCCCCAGCGTGGCGCTGAACTGTGGGCTCCGCTACCTGTCGGAGGGGACCGTCCACCCTTGGTCTCTCTCCAGCGCGGCGCTGGACTGTGGGCTCCGCTAACTGTTGGAGGGGACCTGTCCACCCTTGGTCTCTCCCCAGCGTGGCGCTGGACTGTGGGCTCCGCTAGCGGCAGCCATCTGCCTGGGGATGCCGCCTTCCAGTCGGTCGGCTTGCCTTTTCATTTTCCCTGCAGGCCCCTCCCAAGACACTGTCCCTGGAGCCCTCTGCCGCAGCGCGTGAGGTCGGCGTCCTGCGTAGCTCCTGCCCGCTGCCCTCCCGAGCTCTCTTCTGCAGGTCCCACTGCCGTCCCCCCACCCGCAGGCCCAGAGGGCACGCGGGTCACCGGACGTGGAATGGGGCTGGACAAGGTGTCCTTCCCTCCCTGCCAAGACCCAGCTCCCACAACACTCCTGCCCCATGCAGCGACACAAGACCAACAGGGACCCCATCGCCTCTTGTCGGAAACCTCCCCCAGGCTGTCAGACCCAGGGCAGCAGGCTGTGGGCCCGACGCACAGGAAGGGCTGCTGGTCCCCCGTGCCCCACCCCAGACGCTGCTTGCTCAGCTCTCACCGGGCCTCCCCAGAGCCTTCAGTGCCCCAAAACCACAGTACCCCCTCGGCTGGGTAGACTGCGACGGCCTCTCCCTTGGCCGTCTACACTGGGGGTAGCCCCTTCCTTGGCCATCTGGACTGGAAGTGGACTCTTCTTCCCCTGTCCATCTACACTGAGGGTGGCCCCTTCCCTTGGCTGTCTACACTGAGGGTGGTCCCTTCCACCTGTGACACCAACGGCGGCCTGGGTGTGGTGCCACTGAAGGGCGAGGCAGCGGGCCGTGGCTCAGAGCCGTCTACTGGCAGGGGTGGGGCAGGGCCGTGGGAGCTGCCACTTTGCCCCGCCCAGGCCTCTGCCCCGCCCAGGCCTCTGCCCCGCCCAGGCCTCTGCCCGCCCAGGCCTCTGCCCCGCCCATGCCTCTGCCCCGCCCAGAGCCTCTGCCCGCCAGGCCTCTGCCCCGCCCAGGCCTCTGCCCGCCCAGGCCTCTGCGCCCGCCCAGGCCTCTGCCCCGCCCAGGCCTCTGCCCTGGGCTCTCTTCAGCCCACAGCACCAACAAGGCTCTGCCTGCCATGCATGGCTCTGGTGGGGCTCGCAGCTGACGGACTGCCTGAAGCACAGTGGGCAGACTTGGTGGATGCAAACGCACAACTCGGAAGGGAATCCAGTCTCAGTGGGCACCTGCTGTGGCTGAACGGGGACTGCGCGGGCACCACCCCAGGGACCCACAGCTTCCTCTGAGACGGCCCAGAGCCCCAGCGGGACGACGGCCACAGCCTCCGCACTCCAAGCACACCCGGGCCAGCCGCCATCCCTCGGGTTCCCTCCCTCACCCGCTCCTTTGGCCTCAGCAGGTAAGAGCCTGCGTCTGCAGGGCCTGGATGAGGCAGGGCGTCCCCACCCCGGCCACTTACCCGTACCAGTAGCGGGGGTCACTGGAAATGCAGTGGTTCAGGTTCCTGTGGGCCAGCGCCTTCTTCTTATTGAGCACGAATTCTTGCAACTTCATCTTCACCTCTGTGCTGGCCACGGCACTGGCGAAGGGCAGGACGCACAGGGGGGGCCAGCTCAGCGAGGGCTGGGAGGGGCTGGGGGCTGCGGGAGGGGAGGCAGGTGGAGGCGGTGGGCTTATGAAGACAGGAGACGCCTGGGGGATTTGTAAGGGGAGGCAGGGGTGGAGGCGGGAGACGCCCGGGGGCTTGTAAGAGGTCTTGCTCCCCTCGGATGCCCGGAAACTGACGTGTGTCTGGAAGGCGGGTAACTCCCCTGAGATGGCGCGGCGCTCACACTTGTTCCTTCTGAAGGGAGCTTTAATCTTTGACATAAAAGAGCCCCTGGAGGATGCAGTGGCCAGACTGCTAACTCTGCAGACAGACGCAGGAGCCGCTATGCAGAGGTGCAGGCATGGGGTCCCCGGCCACGGTGCAAGGAAGCACGGGGCAGCAGTGAGGAACGAGCAGAGAGCAGAGACGGGCTCAGGGGCCCACACGGGTCACACGAGGAAGCCCCACCTCATGATGAAGGGCTGGGGCACGGGGCGAGCAGCTGTGAATTTTTGCCATTACATTGGTCAAGTAGACAAATGGCCAAAGGACAGGCTGATGGTGGTGACCACGAGGACGGCCCAGGAGGCCAGGCAGGGGGTGACCCCGAGCGCTCCTCCTCGACTTGGCCGGGGGCAGCTGGGCCTCTGCACTGGCCTGGCCTGCAGGTAAACCCGGCCTGCAGCCTCTGGGTCCGGGACCTTCCACGCCCAGGGGAAATCTAGTTCTTTGGACTTCGCCAGGAGAGGATGGGATGAGGCGGCTCCTGACCTCCCCGTCTCCCAGGCAGGGCGCCGACGAGCCGCGTGGGAAAGTGTGTGGAGGATGCGACTGCAAGGTGAATTCTTTTGGTGCAAAACGCTTGAAAACCTTGCATAGAGGGGTCTTTGAGAAGTTTCCTGAGAATATGTGTGCATCCCAGTCGCATGAATTCTGGTCGCAGCTCTGCCTGGGGGGGCCCTGCTGCAGGGGGCGGCACTGAGTAAAAGCTGGCAGGACAGAGACAGGGAGGACTCACACCGGGGTGGGGGGCTGGGCTGCAGCAGGGGGCCGCAGCTCTAGGTGGCCGGCACCGGCCCAGGACACAGTCTGAGGACACGTCCACCCTGATCCTTCTCCTGGCTTCCACCCGAGACTCACTTCCTCGCTCTCACAGCCCATTCGCTGCCCAGAAAGCACAAATACTGTACGTGGGGGCCAGGTGCTGACGCCGGCCTCCTGCCTCACTCCCACACAGGGAGGGGCTTCCTCGGTGGCCCACCTGGCTGCCAGCAGGGCTGAGCTTCTATGTAGCAGGGAGACACCACGGCTGTGTGAGCCCAGCTCAGCCCTGGCACAAAGACCTGCCTTCTCTTGGAGTTTCCCTTTCAGGTTCACGTCCAAAGACTGTGTGTGTTAGATTCCCCAAGGGAAGAGTGAAGATAAAACCAGGTGCATGAAACACGTGTTTATGCTAACTGTGGTGGGAAAGGCCCCAGGCTCCAAGAATTCACAGCATCACTGGTGACCACCACTACCAGGAAGCTGCACCAGCATCTAAGATCGTAAGCACTCTAAGTGTCTGCCAGTGCAACAAAGCTGATTCAGCCTTCAGAGCAAGTTCATCTTGAAAAACGCCAGCCAACACCACCAGCTGCTCCGCGGGGGCCGTCAGAGGCAGGAGAGGGCCCAGACGCCTGAGTTCCCCCGATGCGCGGCGGCACCCGAGGGGTGCCCACCACGGTGGTCGCTGGCCCTGTCTTCTCACCGCAGGACCACACTCCGCGGGCTGCAGAGCTGGCGCAAGCTGGCCAAGTGTCCAACTGGACACAGCTTCCTAGTGACAATAAGACCTGACCACCCAGATCCACCCGTGGGAACCCCGAGATCGCCGTCTGGGACGAGCCCGGAGCAGAGGAGAGGGCGCGCAGCGCGGCGAGGGCCGAGGGCGGGCGTCCATCCCTGACCCTGCCGAGGGCAGGCGGTGCAGCCGGAGACCGTCTGTGATTGAGGCGATATTCATGGCCGGCGCCGCGGCTCACTAGGCTAATCTCTGCCTTGCAGCGCCGGCACACCCCGGGTTCTAGTCCCGGTCGGGCGCCGGATTCTGTCGGGTTGCCCCTCTTCCAGGCCAGCTCTGCTGTGCCAGGGAGTGCAGTGGAGGATGGCCCAAGTGCTTGGGCCCTGCACCCCATGGGAGACCAGGATAAGTACCTGGCTCCTGCCATCGGATCAGTGCGGTGCGCTGGCCGCAGCGCGCCGGCTGCGGCAGCCATTGGAGGGTGAACCAACGGCAAAGGAAGACCCTTTTCTCTGTCTCTCTGTCTCACTGTCCACTCTGCCTGTCAAAAAAAATTTTTTTTTAAAATTTAAAAAAAATTAAAAAAAAAAGATGAGCTCTTAAAAAAAAAAGGCGACATTCGTATTGGAAGATTCTGGTAAACTCCGAAAGAATCCTTGACGCCGAGCTGCTTTTGAGAAATCCAAAGAACTGCCGTGGGTTGGGTGGTGGCGCCGTCCATCAGTGAGCTGACCTCAAACGCACAGGCCTTCAAAGCAGGTTTGAAGAACCCCTGAAGAAATCCAACAGGGCGCTGCACTTGAGGGGCCGGGGAGCCGCGGGCTGGGAGGGGCTGGCCCCCGCAGAGGCTCCCGCACGCGCCCTGCAAGTGCAGGGGCGGCAGCTCCTCCGCCGGGGCTCCTGGGGGCCGGGAGCTGCTGTCCCAGGAGGCAGGGGCCCAGGGGGGAGGACAGGCCACGGGGCCTGCAGCAGGTCAGATCCCACGCACCTGAGACTCTCCCAGGGTTTCACAAAGGGAACGTGACCCAGCCACCCTAGAGTCAACCAGAGGGGACCGCGAGGGGCCTCCCCTCCCCGGACAGAGCCCTGCGGGCGGCCGCTGCGCAAGTCCTCGGCTCCTGAGTGGTCTCGTGCCCTCGCTCACATTTAGTTCGGCTGCAAACGCGGGCTGAGAACCGGAGTGCACAGGAGGAGCCGCCGTGCGGTGTTCTCTGCCTCCACGCTGTCTCGTGGAGAGAGGCGCGCGGAGCGCAGTACTGCAGCGCAGACTGAACGCCGCGTACGGCCGACGTAATCACGCGAAATTACTACAGACTCAGACTAGTGAAACAAATCGGAGACTAAGAGAGAACATTATTTATAACACGCAGGAAAAATACGTTTTGAAATACAAGTATTTTACAAAAAGGTCGGAGAAGATACAGGCGTAACAATACAGCTTAGCTGACAGGTCAATCCTAATTAGAGAGTCTGGGCCGGCGCTGTGGCCTAGCAGGTAAGACGCCGCCTGCAGTGCTGGCACCCATACGGGCGCTGGTTCAAGTCCTGGCTGCTTCACTTCCATCCAGCTCTCTGCTATGGCCTGGGAAAGCAGTGGATGGTGACCCAAGTCCTTGGGCCCCTGCACCATGCAGGAGACTTGGAGGAAGCTCCTGGCTTCGGATCGGCACAGCTCTGGTGTGGCCATCTGGGTAGTGAACCATCGGATGGAAGACCTCTCTCTCTCTCTTTCTTTTCTCTCTCTCTGCCTCTCCTCTAACTCTTTAAAATAAATAAATCTTTAAAAACAAAAAGAATGAGTCTTGTATACTAGCAGTCATCACATAGAAAACAAATTTAAAACGGAATTAACTTCATTGGTATTAATTCCTTCAAGGACATAAGATTACAACTGTTTATGCTGATTTATATTTTATATCAGTATGTGCAGTTTTATTAGTATTTTTCATTATGCTTGTTATTTATAGAAGGCAGACAGGCAGACACCCACTGGGCGTTCCTCAAAGCTCGCAACAGTAGGGCTGGGCCAGGCTGAAGCCAGGAGCTTCGAGCTCAATCCTGGTTTCCCACGTGGGTGGCAGGGGCCCAAGCGTTTGCGCATGGCCTGCGGCCTCCAAGGGCACATTAGCAGGAAGCCGGAATGCAGATGGAGAGCGGAGCTGGGGTTGAACCCAGGCTCTCAGATATGGGATGCGGGCGTGCCAAGGGGTGTGCTGACCACTGTCCCCAGCGCCCGAGGACACGAGGGTTCCAAGAGCCCCTTGGAAAGCCTTCTGTTCCAGGGAGGAGTCTTACCCGCGCGTGTCGATTTCACTATCCGACAACGATACAGAGGCAAGCCCCAGATCAGACGCTTCGGCCCCCAGGCACCAGAGCAGCACACCAGCACGGAGAGGCACAGCCGGGTGCGAGGACACGCAGGGCCGCCGGCACGCGCCGTGGGAGCACACGAAGCAGGGGTCAGTGAGTCACAGCTCCCG